TTCGGTGATTTTCAAAACAGAATTTGACGACCCATATACTGACATGACGGCGGAAATCAGTATGATAGACTTTATTCTGTAAATGATATTACAGATCTCATAGACTGTATCCTTCATTGGGTTGCATATTATAGTCTTATGTGGACTTGACCAGATCGAAACATTTGTGTTGATGTGTTTTATTGATTCGAGATGTAGTAGGATGTGCAGCAAGGATTTAGGTTGATCATGCATAACATGGAAAACGAAAACAGAAATTATGCCTTAAAAACACATCATAGATTGATGGCAGAAGGAATGGGTGCATTGCATAATCGTGGACTTAGCTATTCCGTGTATCTTGGGATGCATTAAATGCTGAAATGTAGGTGAGAACTTGAAAACACAGAAGCACTAGTCAGGGTTTCCACAGTAGATTCGTATTACAACTTTCCACAGGAAGTGAGAACCAAATACTTGCAAAATATATTTTTCCCTATAAAGTTTGCTCGTTAGATGACAACTTATAGACGACTTTTGAGTAATGCTTGTGTTTTGGGGAAGGTTTAACAACTTACTTAAAATTGAAATAGTTATAAATAGGTGTAAACAATCGGAACTAGAATTTAGTCGTAAGTTGAGATTAAGAATCAAGATTGGGGCTCTCAGTACAAAATGACGTCATCTATGATGCAGAAATGTAATCTAGCCATGTGAATGAGTGGACTGTATGTCAAAACCCAAGATTCACAATCTTGGGTCTGACTGGTTCGTGTATAAATTAGTCTCACCGACTTACTAAATTCTTTTCGGAGTAACATGAAAAAGGAGACTGTCAGCCATCTAATGCAGGCTTGCTACGTAAAGACGCACAGAATTCCGTAAAAAGCTAATACACAAATCCTGAGTAATTACCAAGTATGAAGCCTAACACACACCACCGACTAGGCCAAAGGAACAACACTTGAAAGTGGTGAGAGTATGAAGCAATAACAATCTGCTTATAGCTGTCAAAGCTCAAAAAACATTGAAGCGATAGCAAGAGTCTGTTATAAATCAGTTCAAATGTTATGATGAAATTCAATTACGACAGACAAAAGGTATGTGTGTTGATCTAAAGAACTCACATTGTCTAAAGTTGGTATGACAGGAACCGACACAATGCACTCGATTGTGAGAAGAAATAGCGCAAATATAATCTGAAGCTATTAATCTACAATGATTACCCGAAACGTACCATTAGAGAGAACAACCTCCCAGTTCCAAGTACCGCCAATTAGGACCTCGAGTCCAATCAAATTGGTTTGACATAGAAAAACAAATTATTTAAAACTCTGCAAAAAGATTTTACCGGAACAAATCACTTTCTGACATAAAAGACTCAACTCTCACAACCATTTATAAATAAACCTGTAATCGCTTATTATGCAACAGTATCACTGAAATAGATGCACAATATCTCATATATATACCGGAGCAGAGTATACTGGTCAGTCATCACAGTATCAATATGCATTGTTTCATCCTTCCATCTGGTATTGACCATTTAGGAGGGCGCGCTAAAAAGTTTAAAAACCCGAAGCAAATCATTTACATTTGAAGTTCCGTTTCTCTTATTAAGTAGTGATTTACTGAAATTGTCTACCAGAACATGTTAAATCAGCACATTCTGGTTATTTATTCAAAGCGAGATTAAGTTTTCACAGAGCTACAGCTTGCATGGACCAATAAAGATTAATTTACGTCCTATCCTTACAAGAGAAGGAGGGATAGTTTGAAGTGAGATATTTAATGTTAGGCTTAAAAATCATTCAACAATATTGTATTCCATAAGGCAGACAGACCACTTTATAACAAACATTGATTCTCAGTTTCATTAAAACTAAAGCAATAATGGTGACCGACGGTGTGAGGGATCGAGAGTAGCAATCAATGTTTCGTGAATGAGATAATACATCTTGGCATAGCTCGGAATCAATGAAACCCATCGGGCCCATACCGGAGAGTAAATGACACATTCGTGAAAAGGTTATTCTACCCTAATCATGAAGATGAAAATACTTCGCACACGCAATGACGTGGTCCAGAGATGTATGAAATGCATTTAGACAATGAGAACATCATGAATCCAGAATATTCCGAGTCATTCACAATAAACAAGGAGAGCATCACGAACAATGTTATCCAATGTAATGAGTCGACAAATAATAGTAATGAATACCGAATATCCAATAGTTAGCAATCGATAATGGAAAACGAGCTCAATGCCAAAGTCTGAATGGAAAACATAGGGTATGTGGGTATCATAGAACGACGTAGATCAGAAGAAAAAACAAATATTGCGATAGATCTGCAACAAAGTGGTCTCAACGGATCACACCACAAAGAACCAGATCACATTCACATCAAAAAAATAAAAACAACATTAGAAGATGTGAGAACCAGTAGAGGAGCTGAAATGGCTTCATTTCACCATCTGGTTGCGGCCAAGTTGAAACTGAAGCTAAAGAAGCACTGGACAACTGGACAAACAGCAGTACAAATGTTCAATACAACCTTTCTATGACATACTAACGAATTCAACGACTTCAAGACAACTCTCAACAACAGGTTCCAAGTCTTACAGGATCTACTGGAAGAAGAAGAAACTACTACGGAGGAAAACTGGAAAGGTACCAAATAAGCATTAACTTCAACATCTCATCATAAGGAATGGGTCCCCATCGAAACCCCATACAATATTCAAGAAAGGAAGAATAGGAAAATGGCAATCAACAACAGCCGAACAAGGGTAAAGTAAGCCAAAGTACAATCTGGATACACAGAAGCAAACAAGCAAGTGAAGAGAAGCATTAGAACTGACAAGTAGCAATATGTGGAAGATCTGGCAACGACAGCGGAGAAAGCTTCAAGTGAAGGAAATATGAGACAACTATATGCCACAACGAAGAAACTGGTAAGGAAATATAGTAAACTAGAGAGAGACCACTCAAGGACAAAGAAGGCAAGACAATCACCAAGATTCAAGAGCATAGGAACAGATGGGTGGAACTCTTGAATATACCAGCTCCACTCAGTCCACCAGACATCGAAGCAACACTCACAGACCCTTTTACAGAGGTCACTCCTCCAACGATCGAAGAAATCAGGATGGCCATCAGACAAATCAAGAGTGGGAAACAACAGAACCTGACAATATACCAGCTGAAGCACTAAAGTCAAACATAGGAGTAATTGCAAACATGCTTCACGTTGTATTCGGGAAGATTTAGGAGGACGGAAAATTGCTGACGGACTGGAGAGAAGGACACCTCGTCAAGATACCAAAGAAAGCAGATCTGAGCAAGTGTGAGGACTACAGAGGCATCACATTACTATCAATACCAGGAAAAGTTTCCAACACAGTGTTGCTGAACCGGATGAAAGACTCAATCGACGCCCAACTTCGAGATCAACAGGCTGGATTTCGCAAGGATCGGTCATACACAAACTAAATCGCGACACTGCGGATCATCGTTTAACAATCGGTCGAGTGGAACTAGTCATTATACATCAGCTTCCTTGATTATGAGGAAGCATTTGACAGTGTGGATAGGAGAACACTGGAAACTTCTTCGACACTATAGTGTGAGTACCTGAGAAGATCGTCAACATCATCCAGAATTCATACGACGGACTACACTGCAAAGTGGTGCATGGAGGACAACCCACAGACGCACTCCAAGTGAGGACCGGAGTCAGACAAAGCTGCTTACTCTCCTCCTTCCTCTTTCTTCTAGTGGTCGACTGGATTATGAAGATCTCGACATCTGAGGGAAAGCACAGAATACAATGAACAGGTTCGATGCAACTACACGATTTGGATTTCGCAGATGAACTGGCTCTTCTATGCCATACACACGAATAAGTGCAGATGAAGACAACCAGTGTAACAGCAGCTTCTACATCAGTAGGCCTCAACATACACAAGAGAAAAAAGCAATATCCAGAAATACACAACACGGAGAACACCAACCCAATCACACTTGATGGAAGATGTGGAATCTTTCACGCACCTGGTCAGCACCATCGGTGAACGTGGAGGATCCGATGCAGACGAGAAAGTGAGGATTGATAAAGCAAGGACAGCATTCCTACAATTGAAGAAAATATAGACCTTAAAACAACTGTCAGCCAATACCAATGTAATGATCTTCAACGCAAACGTCAAGACAGTTTTGCTATACGGAGCTGGAAGTTTGAGAACAACTTCAACGATCACCAAAATAATACAAGTATTTATAAGTAGTTGTCTATTCGGGATACTCAATGTCCGTTGACCGGATCGGATACCATCAGCAACAGCCTACTGTGGTATGGAAGAGGACGAACCAGCTTCAATCTGAAGAGGAAATTATGAAACGAAGCGAGAGGTGGATAGTGCATACACTGAGGAAATCACCAAACTGCATCACAAGGTAAGCCCTAACTTGGAATCCTAAAGGAAAATAGAAACTAGGGAGACCAAGGAACACGTTGAGTCGAGCATTGGAAGTAGACATCAAAGGGATGAATAGTAACTGGAAAGGATTGCCCAGGACAGAGTTGGATGGAGAGTGTTGGTGGGCGACCCATGCTCCTCCACGAGGGGTTACAAGCGTAAGTAGGTAAGTAAGCAAGCAAAAGTGAAATTAAATACTAAAAGCTTCAAGGTATTCAAAAGTACAGGTTATAAATTGCTTCTAAAAAAGCAGTTATTTATGTGACTGCTTGAACTGAAATTCAAATTTAAGTGAATACAGTAGCTGTTATACGTAGTGAACAATCAGAACAATAAATTCATATCAGCGGTGAGACTGTAATTCATCTGTAAAGCAATCCGGTTTATGATAGCGGGTCTTAGATTTTGGCGTGAAGTGCATCCTTTCATTTAGCTAGATAACATTTCGGAATCCCAGTTGATGTCAGTTCGTGATAAAAACCACAAATCTATTTCTTACCCTAACCATCAACTGGAAATCATAATTATAATTCCGCACACTGGTTTATGACCTTCATTTAGTCCTAGTTAGTGGGTGAGCATTCTCGAGGTCACTTTAGCATCGCTCAAAGGTCGTCCATAAATTGTGGTCTCATTGATGTAAATTATTCCAAGATGTTTACAATTGAGTGACCAGATAGTCGAAAAGACAACTGTACTCACTGACCACAATACACTTGATTGATTCGACAACATGGAGTTTATATACAAACTGGGTATACCCAGCCCCTCCTTGTACTAAATTCCAAGTTGTCCTAATTTTAGGCTTGTTGTGCTACTGGTTGTTTTTTCTTTGTTATCCTTATTAGGACCAAGTGCATTTTATGCACTTACTGAGTTTTCGGTTTACTTTTCCTCCTGTTTTTCCAACTTTCAGCTATCCTCACACATACAACTCTTTGCACTCCCATAGTACCTAAAGTACTACCAGTCTAGACGTGAACAGACACTTGACCAACTGCGTCGATGAAGGTCACTAAGCACTTATGGTATCATATGCAGTGTTGCTTGAAAGCAACTAGTCCCATGGTATGCTCGTCAGCGAAGTATGGTACAAGGATGTTGGAAATTAAAGACGTTGAGTTGTGGGAATTGATACGAAAAGAAAAAACTAGACAACGATCATCACTCGAATTAATTGCTTCGGAAGTATGTTCCTTGGCCCATCTGTATGCATTTTCAGAACTTTGTATCACAAAGTATTCTTGAATGCCTTGGCTCATGTTTAACAAACAAATATTCAGAAGGATACCCCTTTGCGAGGTATGTTCGTCGAAAAGTAATTTTAATATTGAGAGCTCTCCGACAATCTGACGTTGATACTGGAAGTGGGTAGGGCTATATCAGGCTATCAAAAAGCTTAATGAGACTAACTATTATTCCCTCTACGTGTAGTCTGAGTTCATGGAGTTTCTGACTGCTAACCTCGACCGTTTAAGTGGGTAAAGCCTATTTTATTGAACCACTCGCGAACGCTGTACCAATCAGTTAAGACTAAGTAATACGGTTTGAATTAAGTTGCAATGCACACATTACTTTCCGGAACCCCAAACCACCATGTAATTATTTACCTATGATTTCTTCCAGATCTTATAATTATTGTACCAATTCTAGATTTAGATCTTTGTCTATTTGTGAAGTGGCACCTTGAAATGTAGATAATAAGGTGTAAACTAACATGATTTTATATTAAGTGTGTTCGTAAGCATTTCAGTCTTAATACTTAGCCAGGCTATCGACTGTGGATAGCGAGATAATCAACGTTTTCCCAAGAATATCATTCACTGAAGATAAAGGAAGTAGGGTTCTGTATCAATGGATGCTATAAATCCTTGGTTAAGACTTCAAACGGTAGCTAATCAAGATGTATTTCATTTATTAAAGAACCTTGACACCAGTTGTCCAACTAAAGCTATCTGGAATTTGAGGTGCTACTTTTTCAGACACTAAATCGTTATAAGTCCATAATTTTCACGCTCGTTAGAAACTCATTCTCGGTACTTTAATTTTAAATGTCTTTTTTCTCTCACTGTTTTTTGTGTGGTAACTGCTATGCCTTGACTGAATACTGTGTATATAGGTGGTGTTTTAATATCTGGAATAATTCCGTCTGTTTGTTCTGTATTTTGTTATTCATTTATCACATGTTTTTTTGCGTGAGGAATTATGACACTTAGTAGTATTCAAACTAATGTGCTAACTAAGAATTTCCGAAATAGTGCAATTTAAGTCATGTAGAAGTAAGTGAACACAAATTAACGTATTGTATTTGTGATTCGTAATCTGTGAGCCGTCAAGTACAAAGGAATCATTAGTTTGCACAAATACCACAGGAATCTATCTATCTCTTCACTGAAATGACTTTACGAATGGCTATATCTGTCTTCATTTAGCACCTTCGACATAATAAAAATTACAGTTAGTTAGATGGTGGTAGTTGTAAGTAGGATTCCCAGATTATTATAATGTCCTCAACAACAATAACATCCATTGTTTATCCATAACCTTTGGTGTTTATTCTCAGTAACCGTACTGATTGGATATTTTGGATAACTAAACTGGACCTAAGTTTGTTTCAGTCATTATCACAAAAACTTCTATTTCCAAACTAATAAATATATTTGACATGTTAGCCAGTTCTTGGACATTGCTTTAATGAATAGGTTTGTTTACTACCTAGTTGTTTATACCAACCAATCTCCTTCATGTGATGTCACTGTATTGTAATCTGAATAATCAATGTGTTTGTTTCTTTAATCATATGTTTTTTATAACCCACTCGTAGTATGACCAAAAAGTAAACGATTTCAGTCATGCACTGTTTGTTAACATCTTCGAAGTGGAAAGGAGTCTGAAAGTAGTTTGCTTAATTATTATCAACTTTAGGTTGTTTCCCCAAACACAATTACCTATAACTATTGTATTTAGACACGTTTTGACACCACTTTCTATACTCGCTGTTCATGTATGATTTTATAGAGAAGCAAATATTTTCACGAAACAATTGGGTGGACTCCAGATATATGGCAACTGGTTTCATCTTCGGTGTCTACATTAAAACAAAGAAGTTGATCATACTTATTTGTATTATTGGTTTAGTGTATATTAAAAGCTGTTGATGGAAATACTCGTAAATCGTTTAATCATGTTACTTATGGTGGTATTAATAGTTTCAGCTGCACCCACATCTTGAAAATAAAAAGCTCTGACATCAGAATTTTAGCTAACTTTGGAACGGTTTGCTGACTAATTGCATTCCTATTATTGTAAATAGCTTTTTAGTATCAAACATAACTGCCACCTAATTTTGATTGTCTTGCGTTTCTTTTTTTCACCTCTGTCACGTGAAAACATTATCTGTAATACTGTCATTCGTATTGGAGTTTTGATTTCAAACTGCAGGTAAACATAATGAGCTTGTTGGTATTAATTCCAGGGTCGGACATGATAGTTCCAAGTAAATTTGTGACATCTTAATTGGTAGAAAGTTGCATTTCTGACGTCTCTTGACTTAATGTAAGTCAATTTTTACCTACTCTGAAGAAGTGACTAACATTGAGTCACGAAACGTCAGAAATACTATTTTCTACTCAATGGGATACTATATATATATAGACAGGTAAGCAATTCATTTGGCAAACTAAAAGTGCAATGTAGATACACATAATTGTTATTATGCTTCTGAAAACCTTAATTTGCAGATATTACGGAGGAAATGAAGTTATAGATGCTATTGAGACACTAGCGCAATCCAGATTATTAGATCTCTTCGGTCTCAGAACCCCTGGAGCAACACTTGGTGATGCTGAGTGGGGTGTTAATGTTCAGCCGTATAGTGGGTCCCCAGCGAATTTCGCTGTATATACCGGCCTACTTAATCCTCATGACAGGTTAATGGGTCTTCATTTACCTGATGGTGGTCACCTTACACATGGTTTCCAGACTTTGTCAAAAAAGATTAGTGCCACATCTATTTTTTTCGAATCTATCCCCTACCGTCTAAATGTAAGTTTCAGTATTTGTGTTTGCAGTTTAATTTCGCAACTGCTTTTAGTTTTTTATTATGTACTCAGAATAGGTGATCATAATGTTCCTGTGTACATATTTTTTGGACTGTCATAATTCTTGTTGTACTTGTTCCAGGTTTTTCAGTCTTGTCTGAGCACTGTAGAAAATTTTTACCGAATAATAAAAATGTAATGCTTATGGATTTTACGATCTCTGCACGTCACAAGATAAGCTACTAAGGTTTTTATAATATTCATATTTCAGGTCGCACATCTATTTATTGTTCTCATCTGTCACATCACTACCCATTCTGGCACATACAATAAACGCCTTTCCTGTTAGATTGTAGATACAAAATAAATTTATGTATAAAGGTACAGTTGGCTATTTTCAGCCGGATTTCAGTCACACTACCCGTTTACTGTCGATTTGAAAGCAATAGGTTTCAAAAGTTTGCGATACCTACTTGCTGGACCTATATATGTTCCCATTATCTGTCTGCTTTTCTTGGTCCATGCATTTTACCAAGTAAATAGAACTGTCACAGATTTCTGGAATTTTTGTATTTTTAGTTCCCATTATCACTTCACTACATGATTTACGCTCAATGCAAATAGTGAATCGATTATTTGTTTACGTTGGTTTTGTGAACCCATGGTAACTATTAGTTGATTACTGAGTTGATAATTTGGATATTCAAGTGGTGAATAATATAGTACTCAAACGAGTCAGTAACCAAGTGAAAACTAAGATTTGGGTTCTTTGCCTAGCTAGCCATTACTTACTCGTATTTTTTGTAACGGGTGGATGTTTTAGTAATCCTGAAAACTTAAAAGTAATTATTTATGCGTAAAATTGATTTTCATAGATATTTGGTGTCGTCTAGTTCTTGGTAGTCTACTCGAAATTTCGTTCCATCCTTTTCTTAAATGAAGTACTGCGTTGTCTTATTTTGTCGGATTTGTTTGTGTAAATTATCATTTAACTGTTGTTTGTTTTCTTCATATTTCTCATTTTTAGAAGGAGACGGAACTGATCGATTATGATGCACTACAGCAAGATGCTCTCAATGTATTCCCAAAACTTATAATTGCTGGAATTACCGCCTATCCACGATTGCTGGATTACAAGCGTTTTCGTCAAGTAGGTTAATGAACCAACTTGGTTATCAAAAAACATATTATCGAACTGTTAATTTGCATTGTAGAATAGAAAGCAAAAGTTCATGATGAGCGCTCAAAATAACGTTTCATTGTGATAGATTGAATGTAAAACAGCATATCTTAAGAATAAGCATAATAGTCATGCATAATATTGTGATTGAGCTTACACTTTCCACTAAATAAAGTTTATCGTGTTTTCCAAAGTTCAGGCACACGAACATGAAATAGTATCGTTAAGAGTAAGAGAAATTTATACATTCTGTTGGTAATATTATTTAAGTACGAATCTCTTTAATTTGCTTCATATTGTGTAAAAGAAAAGACGTAATAGTCAGAAGCAAAAGTCCAATATCATCTACAATATAAACTGCACCATCTGTGAGTATTGATATAAAAGACACCAATTCTCCATCAGAGTTCATAATTATAAATCTTTTATTTGACGAAATGATTGTCTATGTATCCTTCATAAAGCCCCATATCTAGACATTTAAACTTGAATTCCTTAGTGGAAGTATAGAAGTTTAAATGTATGAATCTGTATGTCGTAAATGAGTTTAAGATTAGAAATTTCCTAAAGCGTTTCTAAAACTCTTGTATTCACGTCACTTGAGGATTTTTGTAGCAAATACTGGCCACCTGTTATGGCTGCGGAAAACTGATACTTTCTAGTTGTTGCGACGAACCAGATAATCATACGGCTCTATTTTAGAAAGAAGGGAAGACTTCAGATGGGGATTTATTAATATTGCAAAATAAATCCGCAACAGATACAACTACTGGTGGATTTAAACTAGTCAGTAGCTAAGTACATGTAAACAATTTACAAACTCGATTGATTTAACTTCATTAACCGACAATATAATAAATTACTGGGCTGGATATTTGGTTGTTCCTAATAGTAGCTAACACACACTGACAAAAACCCATGTTCATCAGACATTTAAAGGAATTTTAAGTCACCGTCAAATGCTCTTATGGTTTAGTATATTTATAGAACCACAATCCTACTCGACAAACCGAGTAATTAAGAAAAATAAATGGATGACGTAGTTTAAAGACTGGGAATAAAAGTTGTACAAATCACACAATCAGTCATCTGTATACGCTACATAGGTTTGTCTGTATCAACGGCATGACCGTAGTTATAACGACTGTACTTAGTTATTAAAATAAAATAACCTCCAAAGCCAGTAACAGTTAACTTGACCCATAGTATATCAAAAGGCAACTTTTTTGAACAGTTGCTTATAATTTGGGTCTACTTACTAATAAAAAAGTCTCTTAAGCCAATTTACAAATGTCTGGTGTATCATGTGTTGATCCCTGCTGTAGTTATGTGTGTGTAACATGGGTGGTAATAATAGGATCATATCAATCGGTAAAATCAATGTGTATAATTTGGATGAATACCGAATATTTAATCATGGGAATACTTATTGGTGCACTACAAATCAAACAGTATTGGTCTATAACGAACAAAATTCTCAGGATTCAGTGTTCAGATGATTAGTTTGGTTCAAAACGTTTTATGTGGGATATAAATAATGATCTGCACGTATCAGGACATATTAAGTTTGTCACGTTTTACATTAAAACGTATTATAATAGTTATTAGATTGTAGAGCCAAATGTATGTCGAATCGAGACATTTTTTAAGTATACTATTTATGTAATTTCAGTGATGCGTGGTGTCAACATTGACTCAGTTTTTATTCGTGTTCCTAGATTTGTGATTCAGTTGGAGCTGTATTACTAGCTGATATGGCCCATATTTCAGGTCTAGTTGCTGCAAAAATTATCCCATCACCATTTGAATATGCGGATGTTGTGAGTTCTACAACACATAAAACTCTACGTGGACCGCGCTCTGGAGTCATTTTTTATCGCAAAAAAGAGAGATCTATGGAGAAACCTAAAGTAAACTGTTGCATTCCTGTTGATCAGTTGGAAACAAGAATAAATAATGCAGTTTTCCCTGGCCTTCAGGGCGGACCACATGAGAATGCAATAGCTGCTATTGCTGCTATGGCGTTTGAGGTACGTTATTTGGTGATACATAGCTTTTTGGGTTAATTTGTTTTTCTTTTTATTTCCCATAAATAGATGTACATGCTCATTTTCCAAACACCATGAGAATCAATACTGTTTAGACCAACACAATCAGCACTCCATGACTTGCGTGCATTTGCGGTATCCATAGTATTTTTCTTACATAAAGTTAGTGCTACGTGACGAATGATAATAAACTGTCTATCTAGTCCTTTTAATGATCAATAATAGTGTCATTATTTATAATTAAGTAATAATGAAGTTGATAACAGTTTAATTGTTAATGACAAATTAATTAGTAATTTAAATAATTCTCTGTGCACATTTACATTTGATCTAGGCAAGTAGACCTGAATTTCAAGATTATGCTCGTCAGGTCTTAGCAAATGCTCAAGCTTTGGCTAATGCTCTTACATCACTCGGTATCCGCCTTGTGACAGGTGGCACTGATGTCCATTTCATTCTTATTGATTTATCTAACTCACCTAGTAAACCAAAATTAGGTCGGGGCGATGGAGCACGAGTTCAAATGATTGGTGATCTTGTTGGTATTGTTCTAAACAAAAATACAGTTGTTGGTGATTCTAGTGCACAGCAACCATCTGGTTTGAGAATTGGTAAAGTTCTTAATTTTAGCTTCCTATTTACTTATACGTACAATAAATTATACTTTTTATTCAATTCTAATGGTGGATATGTCGCTCAATTTCGTGGATTAGTTGAAGTTGGACATTAACACCGTTGGATGCCGGCTCAGTGGTCTAGTGGTTAGGTGCTCGCGCGCGAAACCAGTAGGTCCTGGGTTCGAATCTCGCGGGGGACGAGGTCGTGGATGCGCACTACTGAGAAGTCCCACAATAGGACGGAACGGCCATCCAGTGCTTCCAGGTTTTCCATAGTGGTCTAGCTTCAACTGACTCATGATCTTAACCATTGCAATTCTAATTTAGTAAAAGAATTCTTTGATCCTATTAATTCACTTAAATTATGTTGTCATATTATTTTAACTACGCTGGAATAATTAACGAAATAACCATGAACATTCCCATCTACGTACTAAAAGTTTGATTGAATTTATATAGTCTGATCAATTCCCCTTTTCAACAATTTGATAATTTCTTAAATGCAAAAACCTATACCTGAATTAGTCATGGAATTGAAGTTGGACGAGATTAAAAAGAATGAAGATGTTTCAGCGAAGAAAATTTTCTTCTCGATGATATTATTTTCCGAAGCTTTACAATCGTCCTTATAGGTAGCCCTTTGCATTTAGTAGTCTAGAACAAAATAAAGGTGTGTTACAAAATGATCAAAGATGGTCACACACTTATTCGAGTATCGGATGTAAAAGTTTATGGAAATGAAGTGACTAAAGATTATCAGATTTTAAGTATTGAATATAATGACTAATAAATGGAAGTGTATCATCTCAAAGTATTTGAAGTTATCGAAAGTTTTCAAACATTAAATAAAATTAGCGTTTATATCATTTAGCCAAGCAGTCGAACATCATGAAATAAAGTTATGGAATAATTTCGGAAGTAATAGAAATTAATTATAAAATGAATGCAAAAGACAGTTGTTTACTTTACAATAGAGAAGGTAAAAACGCTAATAATTATCACTTACGACTTGTAAGATTGCGAGAGGTTCTAAGGCTATCGAAGAATAAGGGATTGAGCATGACCCTTTTGTACACAGAGGTGGGGTTTAAGATATTAATTTGCTATATGTGTGCACCCATTCTTCGTGCGAATCGTCTTCGAGCCAGTTTTTTCTTACATTGTAGATTTATTTATTTTAACGCATAGATATTGGTACAAGGAGGCACCAAATACATATGCACCACACAAATCTCATTCGATATGTGTGAGGGCTTTGATACTGCCCGGGTGCCCGAACCGAAGCAGGACATTGTAGATTATTTCAAACGACGACTCTCGTGATGGCATGTAACCAATGTTGACCATGTGTTAAATGATCGAGCTGTTGATTGATTTGCATTCCCTTGTAAATATCTATGCAGGATAGTCCTCGGACATTTGCTTACCATGCACATGCTTTATACAGCTCATACAGCATGGCCCACATAACCAAGTAAAATGAATAATCCACATATAGGTAACCTAATGTGACATTCTAATCACGATTCTTCCCTGAGTGGGTTTCTTACTGGACAAAACAATTCGAAGCTCCAATGAATGAGACGTCTTTCTCAGAGATCTATTGTGCTTTTCGGTATCTCAGCAGCCACATCTCTCTTGAATTCAGTTTTCATAAATAAAACTTTGGGACTGTATGAGTACTTTCGACTTAATGTTTTGGTTTCTATCAAAGGAACATAAGTTTCAGTTAAATAATATCGTCGAAAAGGAAAATTTCTTCTCTGAAATATCGTCATTCTTTTTAATGAATCAGTAGTTTTCTTTTATTGTTCTTAGTGGAATTATTTGATTTGAACTTTCACTAGAATTAGATCGAACTGTTTAAAATGAATACTACACTTAGGTAATGAAAGTCATTAGATTCAATTTGTTCATATAAATATTGAGACGACTTCAAAATAAAATTATCTTGGAGAAACTAGAAGACGGAGGTCAGATATTGAGATCTTTAGAACTGACAAAGGTTTAGGGGTAGTTCTTATTAATAAGTGTGACTAAAGAAAAGATGTTATCTATACTGGGTGATCAGAGTGGGTTCCTGCAGGACGTTCCATCTAATACTAACGCTATAAAATTGAAATCCAGAGTAGTCTAATCTACTAAAGCTTCTTACAATGAATGGGATGAACAAAGAGGAAGTTAATTTGCCAAAATCTCCCAAATCTGTCCTCTCAAATTTATATAGATTGCCTAAAATTCATAAGCCTGATAATCCAGTAAAACCAATTTTATATATGCGTGGTTCTCTTACACAGAAACTAGCTAAATGGTTAGGAAAATTGTTAAACACAATCCGTAATAAATTATGTAAGTTTTCCTTGAAAGATACATTTGAATTAATTGATCTTCTTAAGGACATTAATAAGGATAAGACTTTGAATTCCTTTTATGTAAACTTTTTTTACGAATGTACGGTTAACTAAGACTATGGATTTCGTTTGTGACTATATATCTACTAATTTTCCCCTTTTTCCTATTTGGTCATCATTGTTGAAAGAATTAATTTTATTATGTACTGCAAATGTCCAGTTCACGTTTGAAGACGAATATTTTCGAAAGTTGATGGTGTTGCTATGGGAAGCCCTTTGGGGCCTCTCTTAGCTGCTGTATTTGTCAGATGTTGAAAGTATGACGAGTATGGAAGATACATGGATGATATGCTAGTTATATGTAATAAAGATTTTGAGGTTTCCCGGTTATTAGATAAACTCAATGGGGTCCAAATCGATATCGTAATGAACTATGAAGCAGAAAATGATGACCAATTGCCCTTTTTAGACATGCTTTTTAGTCGAAGGGAGGATGGTACTATAAAACTGTCAGGCTGGTCAATATCTAAATTTCCAGAATTTCTGTCTATCGCTATACAAACGAGGCTTGGTTAAGTGCCCACAGATACTGTTGGAGAAGACGAAAAACTGCTGAGTGACACTAATAACAAATAATTATCCAGTAAATTTTATAGATAGGTGCAGGAGTCAGTCAGCACTAAAACCCCTCGTTCATTCTGTTCCGAATAAAACTGTTTCTATTTGTCTACCATTAGGAGTAGAATCTAATGGTATGGTTTGAAGACATATTAAAAGCAGCTATCGTGAAAACCTATTACGCTGCTAAACTGGTTGTGATTGAAAAGACTAAGCCCATGATCCCAAATAGACCTAAAAAATGCACGGACGATTGCATCATACCCCATTTACCAATTTACATGTTTGTGCGGACACACTTAGGGTGGAGTAATCGAACAGTGCAATCAAGCGTTATGGTACATGTGCCTAGGTGGCTTCAAAACCAATTAGTGTCAAATGGTCCGACCAACATTGGAGGTAGAAAACCATGTTCATCGATAGCAAAACACATAGTTGCAACGGCGCACAGAATTAACATCAGTACAGCTTTCAAAACGTTGTATAGAAATTGTCAAGGACGAACTCTTAGGTTCATAGAAGCCTTGACTATTCGTAAATTTAAATTCCACTTATGTGTACAAAAACTATTTGTCGTAACCTTGGATTTACCTTGATAATCCTTAAGTCATTTTATGGCCTAGGGTAACACGACAATTTCTTATTCTATCATTTAATTGACGTTTATTAATTTTCATATAAAAATGCCCTGGCAGTTATGTGTGACCAGATTATTCGAAATGTGTAGCGCAAATACATCACATTTTTCAGATCAACTCCGTCTTCTAATTGCTTTATCGAAATGTAGGAAAGGGATTAATTGCTTAAAATTATCTTGATATTCACTTACGAGTATATTTTAAAGTTATTCATTTGATCATGAAGATAAAAATACATATATGAGATCAAGGACCACAGAAGAATTCATTTGTTTACCGTATGAATTATCTATAGTCCTTAAAAATTTGGAAACATAAAATAAATGAATCTGTAATAAAAGACTTGTCTATTAAGATATATTTGCGTTTATGTTTATGGTATGGTGTTTACTGAGGTCAGCAGGGATTAAGTCAAGTTAAATTGTTTTATCATGTGTAACGTGTCAGTTTAAGTTGTATTAGAGAGACTTAGTGTGTTTGAAATTGTGCAATCATTTACTAGGATTTATGTCAAGTTTTTCTGTAGTGACGATTCCTCAAGAAAACTAAATTAATAATGTTAAAGCCCTCGAATAAACGGATAACATAAAAATAAACAATAAAATATTTTTTACAAATGTACACACTTAATTACAAAATATTTTGAGAGAACTAAAAACTATGGTAATCAATTTAAGCCACAGGTGTAAACTACTTTTCTTTGTTGTGAACTTACGAAGTGATAAAATCAATTTTGGCTACTACGCCTAATTCTTATCTATCATACCAGACATAGGTTGAAATAGAAGTCAATCATTAGTTTTGATCTCTCACTTATTTGTCATTAATTGTCAGGTTGTAGCTTTCGTCCATTCAGGGTGTTGGAACTTGTTCATAAATGTGGGGAAACAGCAGTCAATCTTTCTTTATGAGGCATGTTAGCTTTCGAGGTGTGAGTTTCCCACCTTGTTTCCCTCAAATACGATCTCCTTGACTATCTATTTTCAAAACTTACGAGCTCTTCTTTAGTTTTCGAAATTCATTCCACACAGCGTTTAAACTTATTTGCTCTTACTGACAGCTATCTCTGTAATCTTCTAGCATATACTGCATTGTATCCAACACACGTGACTTCATAAACATCGTTTAACTATTCATTTCTTGTTATTCTATTCTTGGCGTTAATACTGAACATAGTGTTTGAAAAGTCTTGAATATCAAATACAAAATAATGTAGTCGCTTACAATACTAAGAGTAATAAATGTTTTCTTTTATATAGAGATGACTGATTACATTCTAGAACGACAACTCATCCAGATCTATATTCAGACTGTAGTATTTTTAATAAACCAGTCAACTTTCAACAACGATTCAAATCCTGCTTCATTTTTACGGGTTTGGTCAGCTTAGTAATAAAAGTAACATTCGGAAAATTCATCTCGTAGCTATGTAGATAATTACGTTAATTAGTTACATGAGAATTCAACTTTGAATGTAAAATTGCTGTCGCTCGATATGTGCTAAGTAACACTAACGATTCTGTGTCCCACTGCAATATATATGTGGATAAAATGAGTAGATTTACTTGGGGTTATGTTTATCATTCATATCTTTTTATGTTTCATTTAATACCATGCGATTATTGATATTATACTTTGAAAATATTCAATTGATGAATTATTAATATTTAGTTTTGTTGTCAATATTCTAGTACGTCCTCTGAATTCATTGAAAATGGAGGTTGTTGGTAAACGTTTCGTATACATATGATACGTTTCATGATAGATATTTTTTAAAAATTTCCATTCTCTAGGTACTCCAGCGCTAACTACTCGTGGGTTTAAAGAAAAAGATTTTGAAAAAGTTGCTTCATTTATTGACGAATTACTTGACCTGACAGTTGTGGTCAAGTCTGTCTCAAGTAAGATTTCCTTTCTGAGTTACTCTTTATTATATAAATATGCCAGTGTTTGGCGAATCTCTAAAATGATCTGTGAAACTGGTCCTTCAAGTACAGGTATCCAAACTTCCTCCCATTTTATATAGCTTTGATTACTAATTCTTTTTCGAACCATTCTGATTATGTTTACCGGTTTTCAATTCGTTAGTACGTGTTGTAAGTTGACCACATTTTTGTATGGAGCTGTCATATTTCATGTAGATACGTTCGTTTCATGATATCGTGACTTCAACTAGGTTTATTTATTTACGATAGGAATATGAATGAATCCGTTACTACAGGATCCATACAAATTCATCATAATTATCCTGAAACATAATTCTACCATCTACGCCTTAGAACAGCCACCAAAAGACTACTGCTCCTTTTGTTTTATGTACTTAAACTGTGATCACATTTCGTTTCTATCATGACAGACCTCTTCAGGTACATTGGCTAGGTCTCCACTTCCCATCGGCTTCTGGCATACGATACCATTCTGAGTATTTTCCAAATAATGTGAACGTAGACTATCGAAGGGAACGATTATTAGTACGATATTCATTTATACATAGACTGAGATTGAACTAATATCACTATTTCATTTATCCTTTCTCAAGTATACATTCATTAAAGCTCGATATTGATTACTACGATTCTGTGTGCATATTTCTTGTTTTTACTGTAATCTTAATTGTATGAAAAATATGTTTTATGGTACACAAATATGTACTATAATAAACATTCTTATAGTCAAGTTCTTTTCATGAATTAATAAATCTTTTTGTTGTTTCAGAAAATCTTAAATCTTTTCAACTTACCCTTCAAAAAGATGAGCTCATAAAATCCAAGATTGAGGATTTACGTCATCGTGTTGCTGATTTCGCGTCTAGCTTCCCAATTCCTGGAATGGAAGATATTTGAGCAAATCTATGTACAGATAATATCGATTTTCATCTGCTACTTCGTATTCCAAATATTAGTTTAATACTACTGCCCAAACTGTGATTAGATTTATTTATGTTCTGTGAACTTTTGTATCACTTGTGGTGTGATAATTGTAATTTTCTTAAGCTTTTTTAAATTACCAGTCTAATGTTATGACTATGTTTTGTTTGTATAATCACCCAGAAAATAAGTTGTTTAGTCATATTGCACTATTTCATTACTTTGTGTTATAGCTAACATAACTGTGACATCAGTAAGGGTGCTCATAACTTCATAGTATGCCCTCGTTTAGTTTGACGACCTTATAAATTGTTACTCATTCGGTTTGTTTGTTTTCGGGTTTCTTTTGCGAAAATAGCAATCAAGCTTAGTCAGATAAGCACATCCTTCCAAGCCCCTTTGTATTTTGAAGAGAATCTAATGTCACGAGACTCACTTTTAGTACTTATTGCTCCGGTTAACCTTAGATTATTACCAGGTCTATAAAAATCACCTAATTCTGATACATAGCTTCTGAACTGTATAGATGCCTTTGGACGTATCGCCTTGTTTTCCTTTATTTAATCTAAGGGATTTTGAAGATGCTGAAAGCCAAGTCAAGCCCCATTTGTGTTCTATCGAAATATAATGATTTCACTGATGCAGTCGGAGTGAATGGTCGTAAATATAGCGTCTTGTTTCCCATTCAGAGAAATCACTATGTCATATTTACACTTTTTATTCTTCCTTGTATCACTCATGTTAGCTCCTTATTTATCACGAAGGGGTTATCACCTTTTTATTTTCCTCTTCAAGTCAATAAACAGCTTATCGGTTTCCCTGTATAGAAATCTCAAGAAGATGAACTGGATTTATTATTCCGGACTACTGAATATTCTTAATTGGGAAGCTTGCCTCTTAAGTAGTGGCTTGAACGCAGCTCTAATGGTACTTTACATTGATTTCGAGTACTGCTTTGGTCAAATTGTTCCATGGTGCTTCTGTAAACCTATACATAAACAAATCGATAGGAACCAAGCTACGCTACCTCAGCCCACTGTTCCATTAATCTGGTGACTTTTCAGCTCTAGTAAGAATACACCAAGTTCATGAAAAATTCGCACCGATGAGACCGAACGTTTTACTAGAAAGGAATGTGATGCTCCAACTAGTGATAAAATCAGCTTAATTTACCGACTATTAAAAAAACGACTAAATCCCCTAAGATATCTATCCCTTCAACTTTTTCTTGATGAAGTATATTACAGAAAGTCGTTTCGAGGAACTTGAGTATATATTTCTTCATCCTTATGCAGTGAACGGGGAAGACCAACCAATCAATTGTATCGGACTTGATTTTTCCTTCATTTCCACACCAATCACTCTTTGTTCTCGTCCTCTTAACCTTCTGCCTCTATGTATTCCACTTTCGACTGGTGATACATACCACTTGTGTCTGTCAACATCAGTAACACACAACATTTACACTGTTGACACTGTAGGTATCATTACTAAGGTTTGATTTAATAAATTGAGCATTGGGTTGGTTGTTATAAATAACAATAATATATTTGTAGTATTCCAATGAGTAGAAAATTAGATTTTCTGGCGTTTCGTGACTTAGTGTTAGTCACCTCTTGGTTATTTTTTCTCTGGAGAAGTGACTTACACTAAGTCACGAAACGTCAGAAAATCTAATTTTCTACTCATTCGGATATTACAAATATTTTATTTACTGATGACATTGTATTCAAAACTCTTAAAACTTTCACACGTACCATGAGGAAACTCGATACGATTGTCTTAAACTTTGGACTTGTTGGCAACGATATAAATCCACTAATATACTCTGGTAGGTCTGGGATCAACAGTATACTCTCGCATTTTCTTAAAAACGGTCCTTGGAGTACCCCGCTCTCGTTATTACAAATCCGGCTCTAATTCAGACGTGTCTGTATATCGTCCTACTAACATTATCTTCGTCATTTCATGAGCTTTGGTAATTATACTAGGAAGTCACAAAACTGTTTTTTTCCTAGCTGAAGAGTTCATATTTACTGCTAACTATGGTTTCATAAAATCTCACCTTGAATTCTCCGACCACATAATCAAACACATAAATAACAGGCCTGTTATCTTTGTATTATACTGCGCAGAACATTCCTCATGGCCTCCTGTTTTTGAAACTATAATCTTAGGATACATATCCTACCATTACTCTGTCTTGATTCATACTTTAACAATCGAATCCATGTACTAAGCTCGTGTATTTCGGAATCTCTCTGTGTTATCAGTGGAGTCATTCTGGGTAGTATAATTGGTCCACGAATTTACTCAATTTTGTTAATGTGTATGCTTCTATAAAGAACTGTAGACATATCCTTCACGCTGATTACCTTAAAACTATACATGCTTCTCCAAGTTATGTGCAAACTGGGATGGAATATAAAAAGGAAGACATCTGCCAATTGAATAACGGGTACCAGACCGGGAATATGAATCCATATATATATATATATATATATATATATATATATATATATATATATATATATATATATATATATACATCAATCCATCAATGATATATATCTACAACATGACTCAGTAACAGATATTTTGTTACAAATAAAAGAGGTTATTGGTCAACAGACGTTCGACGATGACCCATTAAGACAACTCTTCTTGTCTAAGGTTCCTCAGCATGTGCAGGCAGTGCTTGTTGCATTTCAAAACAATTCTGTAGACGAGCTGGCTGTATCTGTAGATAAAATTCTGGATTTCATCAGAACTTCGAACGCCAAGGCTTTTCAGTCAAAGAAAAACCTCAAACCACATGAAATGACGTTACGTCAACTTTAGCCGGCGAACATAGCTGTCTGTTACACATCCCTGCTGTGATTACGAAAGTTCGCCACTTCGTCCACATCGGCTCAGAAGCTACTGTTCTTCCAGAGGATTCTAACGACTGAATGCAAGAAGCAGTTTCCAACTTACAGGTGGCAAATGGGAAACAAATCGCGATACGTTTATCACAACGTGGGTTTACGCAAACCCATCCACTGAAGTTTCGTTGTTGCTGATGTCTCTATGCCGATCATCGATATAGACCTGCTATATAATCATTTACTCATCGATATATGCCAACGGAGGTTAGTATACTGGATGCAAGATCTAATTTGAAGGTTCAAACCTTAGTTCAAATTCAACAGAAAATACTAATTGATCTGTTTATGTAGATTCTTTTCAGGTTATGGTTTATCCTCAGTCGCGGCAAGCCATACGATCAATCCATAATATCAACAAATCTCCGAAAATTGCAAACCAAATTAGCCATGTGTAACCAGTAATGTTAAACATCACACCACGACTACAGGACTACCTGTGTTCCCGAAGGCGCACCGAATAGCTATTGAAAAGCTAAGGTTGACTTAGAACGAATTCGACCATATGATAGACTTAAGAATCTTTCGGCTTAACAAGTGCTACACGAACTCTTCAGATATTTATCGATGAAGATTTTTGCCATCTCAAATTTGTACATGTATGTTGGTGACCGCGTAGGGCTGGTGAAGTGTCGCTGCGCGCTAGCCGGCAGTTGGGTCACTGAATGTCGAAAAGACCATCGTTCCTTGTCAGGGTCAAAGACAACCAACGCTCATCAGTTAACAGAACGCCACGGACACTCATGCGGCCCATGACTGATTGCAAGTCCGGAAAGAGAGTCTTATCTACAGCATCTGGACATTGTCTTCAAACGAGTATACGAGTGTTTTTTGACATGCTATTACATGTCTTCTTTTCTTTTTCAGGACGGCTGGAAAAGATAAAAGAACAATGAACTGTACAATGAATCGAAGATTTCATTGTACCTGTTTTTCATTACTATATTGTACCACATGTCCTTTATGGTAAGGAAAGACGACAGGACACTGTTGAACATAGTGAGATATCAAAATGATGTCTACCAACGATAAGCTTTTTGGGTTTATACTTCTGCCTAAACCACGTCACAAGTGACTTCACTGCCACGCTAGTGAGAAGTAATCTCTAACGATAAAAGAATCCCCAGAATCGATAGTTCTGTAATTATTCTCGTCTAACTCGAGTACGTCTTTATTCACTCGAAACAGGACATCTTCATTGGTGATCTATATATCTATATGTGCATAATTCTGGGTCCGAAGCAACTGCTCCATCTGTTTATAGATTTTGACATCCAGTCAATTGTAAACTGTCTAAATAGATATCAGTCTTATCCGTGTATTTGAATTCATTCAGATTCCCCAGGAGCTCTATAATTCAAAGTACAGCTCCAGGTTGATTATGTATTTCCAATGACTAGGTTTGAGGTTTACATTAAACTGACTAAAATAGGTGGTTTTTTAATAAATCTATTTACGACCGTATAGTGTCTGGAGATATGACGCTTCAGTCGTTTGGTTTATCAACGGATTCTTCCTCAGTTTTAATGGAAGAGTCGGGCAGGGCATTATGTTTTCTACAAGTTTGGCTTTGGTACAACATTATTTGACTGCCTTCTCGTTTCCGATATAGATTCCAAGCGAAGCTGGTGTTTTTGAAACGAGAATGTACAAACAACCGTTAAAGGTGGACAAAGGTCTTAAGTTCATTAGCATTGTTATAATGTAACAAAACTGAACAGTTGAGAGTTGGCTGACATCTGAGCAATGCTAAGGATTATAGCTGAATTAGATATTTAATTCCTTATTTTGTGTAGTTTTTATATTTCCTACTATTTTACATTGGTTATCGAAAACTTTGTGTTAGAAAACGATGATCCCGCGCCCTGACTGTCATGTCCCATGATCGGAATTAAGACATCTTTATAGCTATAGATGCCACAGGTATTTGGAATACCACAACGCCTTTACACGTAACACCTTTATAACCGATGTATACTAACTCAATCAAACCAGAATTCAGAAATGAGGAAATTGGAAGATATAATTGGGAAGCTGTCGATATGTAGAGAAGCGTCTGGTCTAAGCAGGCTAGTAGTTGCAAAAGATGCGTAACACAACGTACCCACTCGTAATCTGATGTGGATGCATGACTGTGCGTCTTCAGCTAGGTGTGGTCAGAAAACCTAGTGAGGTCAGTGTCAATGTCAAATACTTACAGAACTGAAGATTACACAGGTATTCAGTGTTTGACAACGCTTTTACCAGCAAAACCTTCTAATATAATTTGTACCCACCGAGAGAAATCAAAAGACAGAGTCGAGGAGATCGAAAGAGTGTATTTGTCGACTACTAATATATCGGAATTCTCTGATCTGATCTGGCTAGCGATTGCGGTAGATGTTGAGCACAGCGTGCGGA